TTTTTTTTTTTTTCATTCATACAAGCAGTGTTTTAACATTTATTTTCGATTTAAAATTCCAGATGTCAAATGTTGGCTTGGATTTTAACCAGAAGAAAATGGATTGGGAGCAGCTTGTCAAGAACATTTTCATCACGGAAGGACTTAGCAAGGTGCTGCCACTGTTGCAGAAACTTCCAAGCGGAGCATCGTCGGTGGTTGCCTCGCTTCTTGTTTGTTTCTTCCCAGTCCTCGTGACGCTTAGGACCTTCACTCTGAGTCAGTAAATTAATCACTTTGATGATAAGAAATAAGCGTGTAAATCCTTCCTTCCACACATCATTATTATCAGTAATATTTGATAAAGTAAGCTTTCCGTCTGTTTTTCCAGTTCATTTCTTTTTTCTCTTTCATTATGTTTTCATAATGTCCTCATTGTAATTGTGTTGATTTGTTAGATTTATAAATTTTTGGGTTTTTTAAAATCACTTCCACATTCGCATAACAGAAAAACTTCCCAAGCTCAGTATTCAAAGTAGCACTTTCTGAGTTTCATGTGCCTTAAAAAAGAGGCGCACATCTGCTCGATCATTTCGAGGCGAAGGGCTTTTAATAGGTAAAATTTTAATAATTGAGGATGCGTAAAAGTGAATTTATGTAGTCGTTCGTTTTTGCAGTGAGTTTCTGCAGATGCTCAGCGATGAATGTGTGATCGATTCACCACAAGCAGAATGTTGTGGCTTTCTTTGCTTGGAAGTTTTAATATCAACCCGTGTTCGGTTACTGGTGGGAAAAAATATGATTTAAAAAGTTGAAATTAGGCCACTAAATTTGTCTTGTACGGACCACTGAGAGCCAAAAATTCTCCAGTATTCGCCTTATCTAGTTATTAGGTTATAAAATCTGCCTAAATTTGAATCCGAAGACATAAGTCAGGATGCGACGAAGTCAGTTGATTTCCTAGTGTCGGGTTATTGGATAAATCAACATTGCAAGAATTCCTGTTCATTTTTTTCTCGGCCCTTAAAAGTTTATTTTAAAATTGATCCTAAGGTCGAATGAGGAAACCGAGAACGCGTTTTGACTCGCTTTTTTCACAGAAGGTCAGGTACTACAATTCAAAAACCTGGGCGTTTTGGAGTAGAAATGTTTGTAGAAATATGATGACTGTCTACAGGTTCGGTGAGGTGGAGGACCTCGATAAAAAAAATAATT